TATGTATCTCCTTAAGTATCTATAAGATTTAGGAGGATCATTTTTAAATTATCATTTTCAATTTATTTAACAGTTGCATATGTGCATTCAATCTTTTACTCTCTTATATCCAGAGACTTTGCTAAATTCACTGATTAATAGTAATACATTGGTTTATTCTTTTAGTTTTGTACACAAACCTCTTTTTTTTTTTTTTTTTGGTGCTAGAGATTGAACTCTTCTTACCACTGAGCTATATCCCAGACCTTTTTATTTTTTATTTTTATTTTTATTTTTAAAAAATATTTATTTTTTAGTTTTACGTGGACACAATATCTTTATTTTATATTTATGTGGTACTGAGGATCGAACCCAGTGCATTGTTCATGCTAGGCAAGCACTCTACCACTGAGCCACAAACCCAGCCCCTTATTTTTTATTTTTGAAATGGTCTCACTAAGTTGCTTAGTGCCTTGCTACTTTGCTGAGTTTGGCTGTGATTCTCCTGCCTCAGCCTACCAAGTGTTAGGTTTACAGGTATGTACCACAGCACTTGGCTGTACACAATAATTTTCTCCTGAAATCATGTTTTATTTCTTCTTGGACAATCTTTAGGCTTTTATATCTTAATCTTTCCTATCTTTGGCTTGCTTTTTGCTCTATGATTGCCAATACAATGTTGAATAAAAGCAGTCATAATATTCTTTTCACAATCCCAATTGCTGAGAAAAACATCGTCCATATTTTTTTGTTAGGTATATTCTCTCATGTAAGTTTCTACACTGTTTTTTGTTAGGTTATTTAAAAAAATTTTTTGTAGTTGTAGATAGACAGCATGCCTTTATTTTATTTGTTTACTTTTATGCAATGCTGAGGATCAAACCCAGTGCCTCACATGTGCTAGGCAAGCGCTCTGCCACTGAGCTGCCACAAGAGCCCCAGCCCTTGTTAGGTTATAAAGTTCCCTTCTATGAGTGTTGAAAGTTTGTTTTAATGATGAAAAAGTGTTGAGTTTTGTAAAATGCTTTTTCATACATCAAAATGGTTATTTTTCTATTAATGAAATGTGTTCCATTAATCGATTTTCCAAATGTTAACCCTAACACTTTACTACTATTCAGAGTCCACTGAGGCTGAGTTCCATCCAACTGAACAGAGGCAATTCCTTGAACTTTGGGGGCAGGAATAGGATCTTCCTGCAGCTTAGTTCTGCAGGTGAGGAGTAGACTGAGAAGTGGCCTGTGGGTCTCCTGGACATCCATCTCTAGGACTCTGGGTGACTTTATGTGTGAGACAGTGGGGTCACAATATATAATGACCTATCACACTGGTCATTATATATTACCCTTTTTATATATCACTGCTTTCATTTTGTTAATACTCCATTAAAGATTTTTGCATCCATGCTCATGAGACAGTTGATCCATGATTTTATCTTCCTGTATTGTCCTTTTCAGGTTTTGAACCCAAGATTATGCTGGCTTCATAAAATGGGTTAATAAGTACTTTCTGATTTCTATCTTTGAAAAAAATGTGTACAATATTGATTTTATTGTTTTTCTGTCTATGTTGTGTTACTGAGGTTTGAACCCAAGGGTTAGGGGTAGCACTCCACCAGTGAGATTCACCCCCAATTCTTTTTGCTTTGAATTTTGAGACAGAATATAAGTTGTTCAGGCTGACTTCAAACTTGTGATCCTACTGCCACAGCCTCCTGAGTACCTGGGGCTACAGGTGTGTGCCATCACACCTGGCTGGTTTTATTGCTTTCTTGCAGTACTTTATGGTAAAAGCCCACTGGTTATTAGCATTTCTTTGTCAGGGCTTTTTTCTCCTTTTATTTTATTATTGCAGTACTCAGGGTTAAGCCTAGTGTTTTGTACATGTACATGCTAGGCAAGCACTCTATACTCCCAGCTCTGTTTTTTTTCTTTTTTAAATAAGGGAGAAATCACAAGATTCCTCCCAGAACCTCAATCTTTATTTATTTATTTTTTAGTTATAGATGGACATAATATCTTTATTTTGTTTGTTAATTTTTATGTGGTGCTGAGGAGTGAACCCAGTGCTCTACCCCTGAGTTACAACTCCCAGCAAGTGCTCTACCCCTGAGCTACAACTCCCAACCCATTTTTTTTCTTTTTTAAATAATAGATTAACTTATCAGATTAAAAAAAAATTTTTTTTTTTGGTACTGGGAATTCAACCCAGGGTGCTTTGCCACTGGGCTACATCTCCTGCTTTTTTATTTTATACTTTGAGACTACTTTTAAAAAAAACAGATGCACATAATACCTTTGTAGATGTAGATGCACATAATACCTTTATTTTATTTATTTATATGTGGTGCTGAGGATTGAACTGAGTGCCTCACACATGCCAGGCAAGCACTCTACCATTGACTTACAGCACTCTACCCAGCTCCTGTGACACTACTTTTTTTTATATTTTGGCACTAAGTTGCTTATGGCCTCACTAAGTTGCTGAGGCTAGTCTGGAACCTGTGATCCCGCTGCCTCCACTTCCAGAATTGCTGGGATTACAGTTGTGTACCATGGTATCCAGTCACTTTTTTGGATTTTATTGATTTCAGTAAATTGTATTTTCCCAAGAATTTATACATTTTATCCAATTTTTCAGTTATTGTTGTAAAGCTAGTAATTTCCTCTAATTATTTTAATATCTACAGGATGTAGACGGGTGTCATTTTTTTTTCATTCCTGATATAGCTAGTGTTTTTATTGACTTTTATTAATCTTTTTCAAAGGTTTTATACTGTACATCTTTCAAATACCCCAATAACTGTTTAAGTGATATTATGTTACACAGAATACAAGAATGTTAATAATTCTATTTCCTTCTCTTCTTTTGGCCTTAATGCTATTATTTTCACAAAAATTGTTTCTATATATGTTATAAACTCAAAATTACATTGTTTTTATTTTTGTTTAAACAGTAATTTATCTCTTGGAGAGACTCAACAATGTCTTACTTTTTTACCACATAGTTGCCATTTCTAGTGCTTTTTATTTCTTTGTGTACACCCATATTTCCATACTACCCAGTTACACATCTATTAAGCCTCTTGAAGTTACCCTTCAGCTCATTAATATTCTATTCAATATTTTGGGGGGGTAATCAAGGATTGAATTCAGGGGCACTCAACTACTGAGCCACATCCCCAGCCCTATTTTGTATTTTATTTAGAGACAGGGTCTCACTGAGTTGCTTAGTACCTTGCTCTTGCTGAGGCTTTGAACTCCCAATCCTCCTGTCTCAGCCTCCCCAGAGGCTGGGATTACAGGCAAGTGCCACCAGGCCCAGCCTATTCACTATTGTTTGAAAGTTTCTTTGTGTCTCTCCCAACAACTCAAATGGCATATGGCACACAGTAGGTGGTTTGTAATCTTATACCACAGAGCAGAATTCCAAGGTCTGTTACAAACATTCCTACTCCATTTCCACAAATCAGTCCCTATCACAGCACATTCCCATAGTTTACATTTAAAATGTCACATACATTCTTGCCCCACCGTGTCAAACCCTTTCAGCTGGAAGCAGCCACAGTAGTAAGGAGGTCCTAAAATTACATGGGGGAATGGAACCAGAATTAGACAGGCAGATAGGCAAGGGTCAAATCCAGAAAATGGAGGGATTGAAATGTTAATTCCTTCAGAGCCCTTCCTCTACCCCTATCAAGAACCTGCCCCAGCTCCAACCCACTGCTAAGATAACCTGTCCCAGGAACTGTCCCTCCCTACAGGGAGTTGCTAATTAATTAGTCCTGGGCCTGCTTCCTGCTCTGTTCACTCATCCCAGACCCCTCCAGCCCACCTGTTTCCCACCTTTTAGCCATCCTGAGGAGCAGTTCCTAGACCTAGCACGGCAGGAAGAAGACAGATAAGGGGAAGAGAGCAGAACAAAGGAAGTCTTGGACATATAAAAAGGCAGAACACTTTCCTGGGATACCAGGTTACCAGCTATGGTCCCCCTTCTACTCCCTGAATAAGTCTATGTTACCCCTTTTAAAATAAACCCTGCTTTATATGCTTAAAAAATGTCATATACATGTAACAGTCATACACATGATTACAGAAATGTAGCGTGCACACCCCAATACAAAGTTTCACACAATTACATTCACAATATAATGACACAAATGGTCATGTATTCACACGCAAAAGCACAATCAGATGACTTGAGGGGAGACAATAAATAAGAACTGTAAATACAAATACTAAGTGTTCTAAGAGAGTACACAAAGATTAAGGAGCTGTGGAGTGTGAGGGAGAGGCGTCATTAGAAACAGCTTCTTTGGAGGTGTGACATTGGTATCTGTATATATGCAGAAAGAGAAACTTCAAGAAACCTGGTAGAAGAGCCATTTTAGGGAGAGAAGCCATTCACACCCACTGTCACCAAATCACAAAAACAGTTACCACCTGCCAAGGGTGACACTCTCTGCCCTATCCGCGCCCCTCCCAGTCTTCACGGTAACCATCCCGGGACAAGAGGCCCTGGGGCGGGGAAGCAGGACTGGACAGAAGCGTCGTACACCTGCGCCCTTTGCCTCCCTGCACCCCGTTTCTTCGAGTATTCCCGCGCATCCTACGAACTCGGCACTCACCCTCTGCGGTCCGGGCGCAAACCTCTTCCCCTGCGGCCAGAGCGCGCTCTCTAGGTTCCCCACCCAGGTTGCCAAGGGAGGTGTGCCGAGCCTTGTCTGCGCACTTCAAACCCAGACCGTCTAATCTGACCCTCAGCCTTGTGCCCGTGCCCGGCCCAGTAAGAGACCAGAGAAATCAAGACTTTCGGACACCGCTCTGGAAAGCCAGGGAGCGGCAGGAGTGGGAGGACCAAGGCCGAAGTGGCTCCCGCGGAGCCGGACTCACCAAGGCTGCGGCCTTTTCTGCGCCCGGACTACGTTTCCCAGCGGCCCCCGCGGGAACTGGGCCGGCAGCCTCTTTGTGTCCTCCGGGGCCGAGGGAGTTGAGGTGCTTCTTTCCTGGCCCGCTAGGCAGGGTTCCGTCCAGCTGAGCGAGGCGGGCGAGGCCAGAGTGGCGGAGACTCCCTGAGCCTTGGGGCGGGAAAGGGATCTTCCTGCAGTTCAGTTCTGCAGGTGAGGGTGTGGGCCGAGAAATGGCCTGTGGGTTTCCCGGACGCCCGTTCCCGGGTCCCCTGAGTGACTCTACGTGTGAGACTGTGGTCGGTACCGAACCTTGTGAGAGTGTCACCCGATGTGCGTGACCACGTCGTGTCTGTGTGACTGTGGGTGCGAGTGAGCCGGTGGTACCGAGAGGGTGAGACTGAAAGGGGCGGGAGTGGGTAGGTGTTCTCCACCCTCCGTGGTTCCAGTCCCCGTGGCCTCTTTGTGACTAGAGTGTGTGACATCCCCCGCCCCTGATACCCTAACTGTTGGAGGCATGAGGTGTGTGTGTGGGGGGGGGGCTGCCTGTTTGAGACTGTTTTTGCCCCTGGCCTTTAACTGGCATGTGTGAAGCCGTCGTTAACACTGTAATAGTTTTTAAGATTTGGGGTATAGGAGGGACTGAGCGAGATTGTGTGCCACTCAGTGTCTTTTAGCCAAGTGCTGTCAGTGTGCCACCGAATTTCGGAATGACTGATCTGTTGAAAAGGAGGACTGTGGAGTCAGTCAAACCTTTAGCTGATCTTGATGCTCTTATTGGTTAGATGTCTTTTATGTAAATGATTACACTCCTCAGAGTCTTTGTTAAATCTGAAAGTCATCTGCTAAATGATAAATTGGGACGTGATTTAGGAATGGATTAAACTGTATGCAAATAAATTCCTAGCTCTTCCTTATGCTTTCTTTATTTGAGGGAAGATTGCAACCAGAAGGAAGAGAAGCCTAAAAGTCTAGATTGGCAATTCTGGATGCTGCAAGGAAAGTTTCTCATGTTCCCTTTCCCATGTCAGTCAACTGAGGTCACTGCCATTTCTCAAGTGAAGAGCCAGGAGGAAGAAAGAATGGCTGTTGAACTTCTTAATGCCATGTACCAGGTGAGTTAGAATTTTCTCTTTCCTGAAGTGCCATCTTGCTTTTCAAAACAAACAAACATTAACTTTCCTTCTGCTGAAACTTTCTGAGTAGCCAATCATTTCACTTCTCAAAATTCTCTGATAGGGGCTAGGGATATAGCTCAGTTGGTAGAGTGTTTCTCTCATACACAAGGCCCTGGGTTCAATCCCCAGCACCGGGGAGAGGGAGGAAACTCTCCAAACTCTTGGCATCTCATTCAGAATAAAAGAATGGCCTGCAGAGCCCTACTGACTATCCCCCTTGACTTTATCTAATTTCGCTCATTCAGTCAGTTCTTACTTCCTTGTAATGAGTTAAATACTTTTTTTTTTTTTTTTTTTTTTTTTGGTGGTTCTGGGGATTGAACCCAGGGCCTTATGCATGTGAGGCAAGCACACAACCAATCTATATTCCCAGCCCCCCAGATACATTCTTAATGCATGGCTTTGCACTTGCTATTCCTTCTTCCTGGCATCCTGTTCCCTCAGATAACATACAAGCCAGCTTCTTCATTCTAATCCCTTCCCAAACATCATTCAAGCATTCAATGGACTTTTATTAAGAACTTATTAACTTTGGATACCACAGGGCTTAGTGTTGGTCCTCCTGCTCTATCTACATTCACTCTTAGATGATCTCATCCTATCTCATAGCTTGACATACCATCTATTATGCTAACAAACATAAAGTTGTATACAGTTTAGACCTCTCTCCTGACTTTTATCTGACTGCCTACTCAACATCTTCATTTGGTTTCATAATATCTCAAATGCAAACATTTCTTAAATTGAGTGAAATGAGCCAATAGAAGTTTGGGAGCATGAGTGACATGATTTGATTCTCATTTTAGTAGGATCACTCTGGTTGCTGTTGAAAATAAACTGAATGGAACAAGGATAGAAAAATGGAAATCAACCAAGAAACTCTTATATTACAACCCTATCACAAGCTAAACTCTTCCATTAGGGAGTTCTGTTCTACCTTTAAAACATATCTAGAATCAGATTACTTTTTACTACCAGCATTTCCATTCTGTTCAGAATCATTTCTCACTTGGATTAATGCTATATTTCTCCTAACTTAAATTTCTACTTCCATTCTTATTCTCTTTTAGTCTATTCTCAGTGGAGCAGCCATAGTAATCCTGTGAACATATATTTCATGATATTCTTCATAAGGATGGGGTGTGAATGGAAGTAATAAAGAACACAGACAACTCTTTCAAATTATTGTAAGGATAGGAGAAAAATGGATGATAACTTAAGGAAAAAGTGTGGTTAACTAGGTTTCAGAATAATGGGTGCTATACTTTGGATCTTGAATGTCCCCCAAAGGCCCAAGTGCTGAAGTCTTGATCCATAGCCTGTAGCACTAGAGGGAGGTGGTAGAAGACCTTAGTCATTAGTGGTATGCCCTAGAAAGGGATTTTGAGACCCTCACCCCTTCCTCCATCCACCCCCCTCTCTCCCCCATCAAGTGAGCACCTCCTCTGCGATATACTTCCACTATGATATAATGCACAATCACAGTTTCCAGCACAGTAGGGCCAAGTGACCACGGACTGAAACCTCTGAAACCAGGAGCTGTTATCATAATTTGTTAGGGGTTAAATGTTTTAAGTTTAGAATTTAAACTCCTATGAGTTGATTATTGCAGGTATTTTGTTTTAGTAGCAGAAAGCTGACTCACACAATGTGTATGTTTTGTAGCCTGATGTTAACAATTCAGTAGAAAGGGACAATTTGAAGATAAAAAGAGAGGAGGGAATTGCTGGAAAAATGTGCTTGAGTAGATAAGAGGAGCTGAGAGGTTAGCCTTTTCTAGGAAAATGAGCTTTCATTTATATTAATAGGGGCAAGTTAGAGTATGTAGGTATGGTCAATGTATTGGCGTTAAGGGAGTTTGTAGAATTTCTCTTCAAATGGCTTTTGTTTTTAATAGTGTTCTGTTTGTTAAGTTAGGAGGAAAAAATAAACAGAATACCAAATCATCATATGAGAGTCAGGATGGAGGAGAAGGAGGTATTGAGGATTTGAGGAAAAGGGGGAAAGTATCAAGTGGTCATTTAAAGGAGTGGGGAAACAAACACACTAGGAAATGTATCATGTAAGAGAGCATTTTGGCTCACTTGAGATTAGTGATCATGAATTTAAAGTGAAACTAGTTAGCATAGTTGGTGTAATTTTCTCCAGTGAAGTTCAACTCTGCTGGGTGTAGGCACAGAGTAAGTGGACAGATGTCTGTGGTTAACCAAATCAGTACAATCAAAAGAAGGGCAGGGAAGTTGAGGTTATATATAAGGGATGGTTATCACAAATTGTTGTGTTACAAAGTGAGGTTGTGTGGGATGAGGAATAGTGAAAATATGGTAAGATCATTGAATTATAAGTTCTAGTGGGTATTAGAGGGCAACACTTGAAATATAGGAGGTATAAATCAGAGTAGGACGATGGAAATTATGGAGGCATTGGTGTTTACTGATAAGGTCTGGTAATGAAAGTAAATGACTGTGGAAATATGGAGGACAAGATTATTGTAGCAGGGGAGGACTAACAGACCAAGTTGTTGGGAGTTACTTATATGGGTATTGAAATGGCCAAATATTATGAGAAGAATAGAGTGACAATAAACCAGGTACTGAAGTGTTCAAGGAATGACAGAGATACCTACTGGGAATTGTTAGACAGCTAAAATAAGGAGGGATGGTGAATGGCATGGTCTGATTTCATGAGGTTTAAAACTCATTGCCTTTTAAAAAGGAGGAAGGGGGAAATGGTCTGGAAACAATGTGAGGAGTAGAGAGGTCACCTGCATCACTTCCAAATACCATGGCACAAGAAATGTGGGAAATAAGAGTCATCAGATGACAGGGCATCAGAGAATTAGTCTACTTAGCTAGAAGCCATGTTTTTCTAAGGGCAAAAAGTGAAGGGAACTATTTTTTTTGCTTCAGACTGGTTTGATTGATAATTTGATTGATTTTTGAAGTATATTTGTCCTTCAGAATCTCTGGAGTATTCGTTCCAGGACCCCTGCCAATATAAAAACCCAAGAATGCTCAAGTCTCTGTCATAAATTAGTATAGTATTTCCATATAATCTCCCATATACTTTTTTGGGGGGGTGGTACTGGGGATTGAACTCAGGAGCACTTGTCCACTGAGACATATCCCCAGCCCTATTTTGCATTTTATTTAGAGACAGAGTCTCAGTGAGTTGCTTAGCACCTTGCTTTTGCTGAGGCTGGCTTTGAACTCGTGATCCTCCTGCCTCAGTTTCCCAGGCTGCTGGGATTACAGGCAAGCACCATGGTACCCAGCCCTCCCATATACTTTAAATCATCTCTAGATTATTTATAATATTTAGTATATGCTAAATGCTATGCACACAGTAGTTATACTACATTGTTTAGGGAATAATGACAAGAAAAAAATATCTGTACAATTCAATACAGACAATATTTTCTCCAAAAATGTTTTTATCTCAACGCAGATGCAGAACACACAAATATGAGGGATAACTATATTATCATAATTTGTTAGGGGTTAAATGTTTAAGTTTAGAATTTAAACTCGTTATATTGACTTGGTTTTTATTTTTGTTGACTGTGTAGATTAATTTAAATCAAAGAATCAGTGAAAAATGTCATATATAAATATGTATACATTTACTACATATGTTTATATAAGCTAAGGAAAACATTTCGGTAAGAATATATATACCATACCAGCCAAACCGTTAGCAGTTACAGAGAGGGAACTATTCACGTTGTACTTCATATAATTGAAGAAAAAAATGTTACTGAGTTGAAAAACTCTGGGAAACTTTTGTTTCTACGGCTACGGACACAGTTCCTTTAATGGAAGAAAAAGTCATTTCTTTTTATTGCCCTTTATAGTCACGTCTTTTACTTTTATTAAAAAAATAATAATAATAATTAAAAGTCCACACATTATATTAGTTTCATCAGCAAGTGGTCACATTAAAGAAACACATTTTCTTTTTTTTTAGTTTCTTTTCTTTATTTTTAATTTTTTTAAATATCTTTATTTTGTTTATTTTTATGTGGTGCTGAGGATCGAACCCATGGCCTTGTACATGCTAGGCGAGCGCTCTACCGCTGAGCCACAACCCCAGCCCCAAACACATATTTCTTAACACAAAAACTCAAAATTCTGGATTGAAGTATTTGAATTTTAATGGAATTGATGATTTGCTATGCTTGGTTTTTAGAAATATGCCAAGTACTTCCTGATGTCACTTTTAAAACCCCTATAGTTGGGCTGGGGATGTGGCTCAAGCGGTAGCGTGCTCGCCTGGCATGCATGTGGCCCGGGTTCGATCCTCAACACCACATACAAAGATGTTGTGTCCGCCAAAAACTAAGAAATAAATATTAAAAAATTCTCTCTCTCTCTCTCTCTCTCTTTTTAAAAAAAAAAACCTATAACTCTTGAAATTTTCAAACAATTCATTCATTAATTCAGGTTATTCGGTATCTGAATGCCTCATGTGGATCACATGCTGTCCTTTGAGGATACACCAGTGACCAAAGCAAAAGCACTCTGCCCTCATGGAGGTTGAATTTTAATGGGGGAAAGAGGACAGACAATAATAACAAAATAAGTACTTTGAAGGAAAATAAAACAGGGTTATGAGAACACGAAATTGGATTAGGAGCATGGCTGTGTATGTGTGTGTGTGTGTGTGTGTGTGTGTGTGTGTGTGAGAGAGAGAGAGAGAGAGAGAGAGATGGGGGATTGAACTATATCCCCGGCCCTTATTTTATTTTTATTTTGACACAAGATTGTCGCATCTCACGACTAAACCAGTCAGGGTCACTCCAAGTGAATTTGAGGAATAAATAAAGACATAGACACAGAAAGTACCTTTCCTTTGAGTTAGTGACTACTCCTCAGCTGCAGCTTCCACGTGGAGGGCAAGGCAGGCAAGAAAGAGAGCGAGGAGGAGCATGAGTCGAACCATTTTATTGGGAAGAAGCCATTCAAATGAGGCAAGGGGTAGGATTACAAAGGAACAGGTGAGTGTAGCTCAAACCACCACCACCACCACCACCCCCCCCCCTGCCCCGCCGTGGGTGACACCTACACTTGAAGCCATGCCTCACTATCCGAGCAGGGTAACACCCAAGTTACTGCTACCTGGCACTGCTGTTCTAGACTGAAGGCAATAATTGGTCAGAACCTGGTGCTTCAGGACTTAAGGGCGTTTGCATCTAGGGCAGCTCCCGACACAAGATTTTGCTTAGTTGCTGAGGTTGGCCTCAAACTTGCAAATACTCCTCCCTCAGCCTCTTAGTACCTGAGATTACAGGTGTGCACCATCATGCCTGACCAGCAATGCTCTTTCATACAGAATAATCTGAGACGTAGGCCCTCAGGGGGAACACGGCTGACATATTTAAGGATGCAGTATAAGGGAGAACCCTGTATGCTTGGGTCAGAGTAAAAGAGGTGAGTATGATAAGGGAGGAAGTTAATTCATTTATTTTCTTTCAGGATTTGGTGACCTTCAGAGATGTGGCTGTAGACTTCTCCCAAGAAGAGTGGAATTGTCTGGATTCCTCTCAGAGGCATTTATACAGTAATGTGATGTTGGAAAACTATAGGATCTTGGTGTCATTGGGTAAGGATATCTTCCCCTTACAGAACTGTACTTGTACTCATAAGGGGCTCTTTGCTACCACCTTTGTAAACTTTTGGATAGCTGCTATCCAAAAGTGTCTGCTGGCTGTGCCAAACAAATGGTTTAATGTTTGTGACATTGGTAGTGGACAAGTCTACTGTTGACCTATGTCTGAAGCTTTATCTTCCCGTCCTTCTGATACATGTCCTTTACACATTTTTCCTTGACTTCCTGTAAGCTCCATCTTCCTTGACTGTCCAAGGATCCAATCTGAGTTTTGGGCTATCCACAGCATGACCAAGTACTGTTTCTTTCCATATGTGCAGGTCTTTGCTTTTCTAAGCCAAGTGTGATATTATTGTTGGAACAAGGAAAAGAGCCATGGATGGTGAAGAGAGAGTTCACAAATGGCTTGTGTTCAGGTGAGTGAAGAGGAATAGGCAGGAAAAAACCTTTGCAGGTGGGATGGGGATGTGGCTCATTGGCAGAGCATTTGTCTAGCATGTACAAGGTCCTGGGTTCCATCCCCAGCACTGAAAAACAAACAAAACCTTTGCAAATGACAGCTCAGTTTGATTCAAAGAAATCACCTCTTCATTATTATTTATGGGCCTGCTCTCACATGTTCTAGGGCTTAATAGAAACTTGGGGCCTTCTAGGATGTTCTCCCACATGTGTTATTCTTAACTCTCCTTTCACACTTTGCCCTCTACTTTCTTATAACTTGTTTAATATTCTCTGAGTCCTGTTTCTTTTCTGTTTCATAATCTTATCCTAGTCTTTTTTTTTTTCTTTTTCTTTTTTCTTCTGGCACTAGGGATTGTGTCCAGGGCTTCACACACATGCTAGCTAGGCAAGCGCTCTACCCTGAGCTCTATCCCCAGCCCTCCTCTTCCAGTCTCTAAAAAAATCTTTCTCAAGCTGGGCACAAACCTGTAATCCCAGTGACTCAGGAGGCTGAGGCAGGAGAACTTCCAGCTCAAGTAGCCTGAGCAATTTAATATGACCCTGTCTCAAAATTTTAAAAAAGTAAAAGGGGGACTGGGGTTGTGGCTTAGTGGTAAAGCACTTGCCTAGCATGAGTGAGGCACTGGGTTCGATCCTCAGCAACCACATATAAATAAATAAATAAATAAATAAAAAGGTATTGTATCCATCTACAACTAAAAAATACTTAAAAGGGAGCGGGGGCTGGTGGAGTGCCCCTAGGTTTAATCCCCAGTACAAAACAAAATGAAACAAACAACTTTTCCCAATTTTGAGCCATACAGATACCCCTAAATGAAGTACCAGGTTCAAATCCTGCCTGAAACTTACATGCCAGTGAAATTTTAGGAATGTTGCTTAACCTGTATGCTTTTTAAAAAATATATTTTTAGTTGTAGATGGACACAATACCTTTATTTTATTTATTTATTTGTATGTGGTGCTGAGGATCAAACCCAGAGCCTCACACGTGGTAGGCAAATGCTCTACCACTGAGCTACAATCCAAGCCCTTTAACCTGTGCTTTTTGTTTTATCATCTCCAAAATTGGATAGTACTTTTAAAAAAAATGTCTTTAAATTTGTTGACAGACCTTTATTTTATTCATTTATTTGTATGTGGTGCTGAGAGTCAAACCCAGTGCTTCACACACACACGAGGCAACTGTTCTATGACTAAGCCACAACCCCAGCCCCCCTGAATAGTACTTCTAAAGTGCTTTGAACAGTGGGACTGGGGTTGTGGCTCAGTGCACGTGTTCGATCCTCAGCACCACATATAAATAAACAAATAAAATAAAGGTATTGTGTCCATCTACAAATAAAGTGTGTGTGTGTGTGTGTGTGTGTGTGTGTGCGCGCGTGCGTGCTTTGAACAATTCCATCTTATAGTATGAATTCAATAACTATTAGCTGCTATTAATAATAGAAGTTTCCAAACTATTTTTTTCTGAAGGATCACTTCATTTACCTTTAATCAACATTTTTGAATTTTCATTTTAAATAGGGTTTGAATCCTATTCCCCAGCTCACTCCCCAAGATGCTCAGGTGTTATATGTATGTATAAATAATCAAACAATTAACAGGCTAGTAGTGGAAATATGATATAGCTATAGAACAACACATATGAAGAGAAAGCTGACAGCTGACATCAAAGAAGCTCAGAGAAAAGGTGAGAGGCAGAGGAGTACAGGTAACTGTAAAGATGTTGGTCTTTAATGAAAACAGAGGTCAGCAGCTAGAAAGCATTTAAGGGAGAAGAGACTAAGAATTTAGTATTGCAATGTAGGAAGGAGTGTCAGATAGACATAGGAAACAGGTAAAATGAAAAACTAATGTTCATTGTAAACATTCTGTCAACCCCATTTCCCAGATCATTTCTCAGTTGCCTCTACCCAATCCTTTATGTCCTTGATCAATTTTCTAAGAAAAAATCTTTAATATGTTAGTATCAAAGGATATATGATTAAATCTCAATGATTAATATTATTAGATGAATCACACAAATATACATTATCATAGGTATGTAGTTTAAATAATAGAACAAAAATCTATTTACTACTACTATGTTTTCTTTTGTGGTACAGGGAATTGAACTCAGGGCCTTGCACATACTACACAAGTATTCTACCACTGAGCTACATTCCCACCCCTTTTTTATACTTTTATTTTGAGACAGGGTCTTGATAAGTTGCCCATGTTGGCTTCAAATTAGCAATCCTCCTGCCTCAGGCTTTCTGAGTAGCTGGGATGACAGGCATGCACCATTATGCTCAGCTCCACCTAACTGCTTCTTAGCTTGAGAGAAAATGGTCAATGCCATTGCAAGCCCTTGAGGGCCTCTTTGTAATGATACATGACTCCTCTACCATGGCCCATCCCACCCTCACTGGGTATCCATTATCTTATATTTTGCTTATCATGTCCTGGCTTCTCTTTATAGTTGTGAGATCCTAAAACAAAATGTACACGTGTGTGTGTGTGTGTGTGTGTGTGTGTGTGTGTGTGTATGTGCATATATACACATATATATATTTACACACACATAGTATGTTTTCTTCCAAAAAAAGTTAGGAATAGGGCTGGGGTTGTGGCTCAGTGGTAGAGTGCTTGCCTCACATGTGTGAGGCACTGGGTTCAATTCTCAGTACTGCATATAAATAAATGGATAAAATAAAGGTCTATCAAAAACTAAAAAAAGGTTAAAAAAAAGTTAAGAATATACCAGTGAAACTTCACATCACATACAACTGCAAGAATGGGAACCTAATTAGAATAAGTTATACTCCATGTATGTGTAATATGTCAAAGTACACTCTACTGTCATATAGATCAAAAAATAAATAAATAAAATCTCCATAATGAGAGTCAGAAAAAAAAGTTGAGAATATAACTGGGTGCAGTGGCACACAGCAACTCGGGAGGTGAGGCAGGAGGATCACAAGTTTAAGGCCAGCTTCGACAACTTAGTGAGACCCTGTCTCAAAAACTAAAAAGAATTGGGGATAAAACAGTTGAAAATATACAGAGAGAGAGAGAGAAAGATATAAACAGTATATTTATGCATAGTATATTTTGTCAACTTTATGTATTTATTTATATTTATATATCCTGTAGGTATATGTGTGTGTGTGTGTATATATATATATATATATATATATATTCATTCTTTTTATAGATAAAAACATTCTATGCATGTGATTCAGTGACCTTTTTTCTTTCATAAATGAAATTATGTCCCTGAGATTTAATCCATGTTGATTTTTATAGCTGTGGTCCATTGATTTATTTTTTAAAAAATTTTTAGGGCTGGGGTTGTGGCTTAGCAGTAGAGCACTCGCCTCGCACATGCGAGACCCTGTGTTCAATCCTCAGCACCACATAAAAATAAATAAGTGAAATAAAGGTATTGTGTCCAACTACAACTAAAAAATAAATTTAAAAAAAAATTATTTTAAATGTCCTCCATTGTGGATTTTATCCACTGATGGTCACTTCAGTTGTTTACACTTTATGTTATTATAAATGTTACTTCTGTGAACATTATACATGACTGCTGATGTACACATGCTGGAATTCATGTAGACAGTGTAGCCATGAATTTATTAGACAATGCTTGTATTAATTTACATTTCAAAAAGTGGTGTGTGAGAGCACCCATTGCTCAACATTCATAATTTGTGAGTTCAAGATTTTTTGCCAACCTTTAGGTAAATAATATCCCTATACTTACAATTTGATTACTAAAGATATTGACCATCTTTTCCCATTTATAATAGCCATTAGGATTTCTTCTTTTGTGAAGTGCCTACTCCAGTCATTTGCTCATTTTAAGGAAAGTGTTTGTGTGTGTGTATGTGTGCACGTGCATGTATGACAATACATATATATTTTTCTTGTATATTTGTAGTTCATATTTTTTATAATATTTTAAGAAATTATTCTTAGGTATGTTGTGAAGTCATATAGATATTCGAAATTTGTCATCTAAAGATTTTTATTGTATATTCAGGCCCATGATCCAGTTGGGATTGATTTTTGAGGATTATTTGAAGTAAGAATTTAATTTCTGTGCCTTATAAAAAACCAATGTCCTAGATGTTTATTGAATAAATGATCTCTTTTTGCCTGTGGTTCTGAATGTTACCTTGTAATATATCAAATTTTACTGTATTTATGTGTGTGATTTTGAGCTTTATCCTATTCCATTTTAAGTACTACACTTTTTTATTTTATTTTTAAAATTTTTAAAAATGTATTTATCTATTTTAATTTGTTGTATATGACAGCAGAATGCATTTCAATTCATAGTATACATATAGAGCACAATTTTTCATGTCTCTGGTTGTACACAAAGTAGAATCACATCATTTGTGTCTCCATTCATGTACATAGGGTAATGATGTCCATCTCATTCCACTGTTTTTTCTACCCATCTGTTCCCTCCTTTCCCTTCCTTCCCCTTTTCCCTATCCAAAGTTCCTCCATTCCTCCCATGCTCTACCCCCATCCCCCAATCTCCACTGTGGATCAGCACCACATATCAGAGAAAACATTCAACATTTGGTTTTTTGGGATTAGCTTACTTCACTTAGCATAACTTTCCCCAAACCCATTTGTTGAAAAGAATGTCCTTTCTCATTGAATGGTCTTGGTACTCTCGCAGAAAATAATTCAACCACATATGTGAGGGTTTACTTCTGGGTTCCCTGTTATATTCCATTGGTTTGTATGTCTGTAGAACACTATTTTAGTTACTGTACCTTTGTAGTAAATTTTGAAATCAGAAAGGGTGAGACCTCTGACTTTCTTCAATTTTTCAACATTGTGCTATTAATAATTCCTTCAGATTTTCTATTTCTAGAAAAAGATTGTTGGAATTTTAATATGGATTACATTGAATTTATAAATCACTTTGGGAAGTTTTAACATCTTAATATTAAATCTTCCAGTGAACGAACAGAGGATGACTTTCCATATATTGGTATCTTTAATTTATTACAGCAATATTGTTTAATTTTTAGGATATAAGTATTTCACTTCCTTAGGTAAGTTTATTCCTTATTTCTTCATTTTCTTTTCAGATAATTTGTTATTAGTGTCTGAAATGCACCTGTTTTTGTGTATTGATTTTGTATCCTGACACTAAGCTCTGCTGAATTCTTTTATGGGTTCTAGTAGTTTTTTGGTAGAATTTTACTTATTGCTTACCAACTCAGGTGCCTTTAATTTCTTGATCTTTCCTCATTGCTCTAGCTAGGACTTCAAGTACTATGATTCAATAAAAGGGACAAAGGAGGCATTCTTGCCTTGTTCCTGATCTTGGAAGAATATTTTCAGTCTTTCTTTATTGAATGTGATCTGTGCTGTGAGGTTTTCAGACCTATACAGCTTTTATTGTGTTTCAGAAGTCTTCTTGTAGTTTTTGGTTTGTTGAGAGTTTTTACCATGAAAAGTTGAAAGGATACAAAAGGTTGTTGAATTTTGTCAATTGTTTTCCTTCATTAATTGAAATGATCATGTGTTTTCTTTCATTCTGTTATTATGGTGTTTTATATTGATCAGTGTTCATATGTTGAAACTTCCTTGTGTTTCAGGAATGACTCTCACTTTGTATTGTATAATTCTTTCAGTATACAGTTGAATTCCGTTAGCATTTTGTTGAGGATTTTTGCATCAGTATTCTTACGAAATACCAATCTATGGTTTTCTTAATAATATGTTTGGCTTTGGTATCATGATAATGCTGACCTCATATAATGAGTTTGGATATCTTTGCTCTTCGATTTTCTGTTTGAAGAGTATTGATATAAACTCTTTTTTGAATGTTTGACAGAATTCATCAGGTAAGCCATCTGATCGTAGCCTTTTCTTTGTTGGAGATTTCAAATGATTGACTCAGTCTCCTTATTTATAGTAGTGTTGTTCAGGTTTTCCGTTATGTTATGATTTTGTTTGGGTTTGAGCTTTCAGGTATTTGTCCATTTCATTCAAGTTACCCAGTTTGCTGGCATACAGCAAGTCATAGTACTGTCTTGTAATCCCATCTGTAAAAATGATAGTAATGTCACTGTTTCTGATTTTACTTAGGTCTTCTCTATTTTTTTTTCCTTAGTCAATCTAGCTAAAGGTTTATCAGTTTTGTTATCTTTTCAAAACATAGCTCTTGGTATATTTGTATATTTGATTCTTTTTCAGAGTATTTTTCTTCCTGAAACATAAGGAAGCTTCAACATATGAACACTGATCAATATAAAACACCTTAATAACAGAATGAAAGAAACCACATGATCATTTTAATTAATAAAGAAAAACATTTGACAAAATTCAACAACCTTTTGTTTTTTCTCTCTCTTGCCTTCTCTCTTCTCTTCTCTCTCTCTCTTTCTTTTCTGGACCTAGTTATTGAACCCAGGGCCTCTTGCATGTAAGGCAAACACTCTCACTGATCTACACTCCTCTACCTTTTAATTTTTCAAGGTTTTTTTTTTTTTCTTTTAGTAAAGAGGATTTAACTAAGATGTGCTTTACTACTGAGCCACATCCCCTAGCCCGTTTTAGTTTTCATTTTGAGACAGGGTCTCATTTCCTTCCACCTCAGCCTCCTGAGCTACTGGGATTACAGATGTGCACCACCACGCCTGACTTGATTTTGCTCATTTCTTGTAAAGTTTATTTCTATCGAATTTTCCCCATTTGGTGATGGTGTTGTCAGTGCTAAAGGTATCTTCTTAATGTTAATTATTTTATTTTTAAATTTATTCTAAAATTGGAAAATACATTTGTATTAGATAAAAATGTAGATGTATAAACAATAACCTCTCCCATAGCCCTTATGTTCTATTATGTGCCCTCTTTTTAAAAATCATTTGTGGGTTTTATCCAAACCACCACATAAACAAAATTCATTTTTTTTCCAATTTTTTTTTAGTTGTTGAGGACCTTTATTTTTATTTATTTGTTTACATGCAGTGCTGAGAATAGAACCTAGTGCTTCACACATGCTAGGCAAGTGCTGTATCACTGAGACACAACCCCAGCCCACAAAATTCTTTTTAATAACTACTTTTATTTTTATTATTACTATTATTTATTTTTGACATTCCTTGCCTAATATATTTTAATACCTTGTTTTTTATGTTGAAGTATATTTGATTCTTTTTCAGAATATTCATGAAACAAGTTGTTATACCTTTATTATCATGAGGTATTATTTCAGTCCTGACTCCTTTTTGTTTACATTTGCCACTTCTCTTTTGCTGATTTCTTCTCTTTTCCTGTATATCTTAATGTTGGGAGTGCTCTAGGGTTCATTCCTTGCTCTTTCCTCTTCTCTTTATCTACACTCATTTTTTCAGATACATCTTTAAATACCATCTTATATGCTGACAACTTCCAATTTTAAATCTCTAGTCCACACTTACTTCTTTTTTTTTTAATTTTTTATTGTTGGTTGTTCAAAACATTACAAATTTCTCAACACACTTACTTCTTAACTTCCAGCATCATGTGTTCATTTGCCCACTCTAAAGGACACCTTAAAAACATTTAAAACTGAACTCCAGATCTTTCAGACCTTTTTGCCCAGACCTGCAATACTCATATCACCATTGATAGCTACTCTATACTTCATTGCTCAGATCAGAAACTTTGAAATTATGCTTGATTCATCTCTTTCTATTACATGTCGTATCCTGTCTGTCAGGATATCTTCTTGGATCTACCTATAAAATATACTGAGGATCTTACCACCTCTTCATACCTCCACTAATATCTATCTGGTGTGAATGGCTATCATCTCTCACCAGAATGACTCCAATAGGTCTCCTTACTTCTCCCCTTGTTTCCTACTTTACAATAATTTCGTAATACAGCAACTGCCCACAGAACACTCCATCTGACTATTCAGAGCAAAATGCCTATAAAATTTAAATAATCTGGTCACCCTTTACCTCCTAGCTTCATCTCCTACTACTCAGTGCTTTCTAGCCATACTTCTAGTGTGAAAAGGAATAGTCCTTCCCACTATTCCCTAAATACACTAGGTATGTTTCTACTTTTACGTCTTTTTAAACTGGTTCTCTCTTCTGCACAAAATGTTTTTTTCCTAAAAATATAGGTGACTAATTTCTTCACTTCATTCAGATCTTTGCTTGAATGTTAACTTATGAATTATTATCTTTTGGTACCATGGAGTGAACACAGGAGTGCTTTACTACTGAGCCTCATCTCCAGCCCTTTTTATTTTTTATTTTGAGCCAGTCTGACCTTGAACTTGCCATCCTCCTTCCTCAGCCTCCCAGGTTGCTGGGATTATAGGCGCGCACCACCACACCTGCCTGACTTATTAATGATTCTTACCTTTGACTTCACCAGCCCTCCTGATTTCCCTTACCCTGCTTTCCTCTTCCTGAAGCACTTAGTTTCTTCTAATGTACAATAAAATTTACTTACTTATTTTCAGTCCCTTCTAAGAAATAAAGTCCATGAAGGTAAAAATGTTTGTTTTATGGCATTAAAAGCATCTAGGACAGTGTCTAGTACTAAATATTTAATCTAAGTATTTGTTCAATAAATGTTCTTTTTTAAAGATATTTTTTAGTTGTCAATAGATCTTTTATTTATTTATATGTGGTGCTAAAGATCGAACCCAGGGCCTCACACATGCCAGGCAAGTGCTCTACCCCTGGCTCCAGCCCCCAATGAATGTTCTTAAATGAAACAGCTATAAGAATGGAGACTATATCCATGTCTGTATTCTTAACATAGATCTAAAATTATATCTGAATCCAACCATATCCATAATTCCTTCTTGCCCTGAAATTGACCTTACTGATTTTCTTATAATTCTAATCATTCCTCCTCAGGTTTCTAAATTTATTTATCATTTCAATTATTTCAACTTATTTCACTTTATCTTCTTGCCCACTTCAAAACTAGGATAGCCAATGTTCTTTTGGGTTTCTTTGCTATAAAATTCACATGGTTAACTTTATTTCGATACCAGGGATTGAACCCAGACGGGCTTAACTACTGAGCTACATCCCCAGCCCTTTTTTATTTTGAGATAGGGTGTAAGTAAGTTGCTTAGGGCTTCACTAAGTTCCTGAGGCTGGCTCTGAACTGACAATCCTCCTGGCTCAGCCTCTCTCAAGTCACTGGGATTACAGATGTGTAACCAGATCACATGGTTAACTTTATGAATGTAATTTAAGAAATGATCTTTCTGGCACAGAATAGAAGAGACATTTTTTTCTTATTATTTTTTCAGGCTGGGAATCTATGTATGAGACTAAAGAATTAATGCCAAAGCAGGAACTTTATGAAGAACAATCATCCCAGAATATAATGGAAAAACTTACAAGCTTTGGGTTTGAGTACTCCAGTTTGAGAGAAGACTGGAAATGTGAAGGCCCTCTTGAAAGGCAACCAGGAAATCAGAAGACATGTTTCAAGAAAGAGACAATCCCTTATGAAGAAGCCTTTATTGATGAGAGAAAAGAAGAATATAACAAATCTTGGGGAAGTTTCCATCAGAACACCCTGCTTCATACACAACAGATAATCCCCAAAGAGGAGAAAGTATATAAACATGAAACATATAAGAAAAGCTTAAAAAACAGTTTGGTGGGTACTAAACCCAAGAGTGTCTATGCAGAGAAGAAAATTTTGAAATGTAATGATTGTGAAAAAGTCTTTAGCCAGAGCTCATCCCTTACTCTTCATCAAAGAATTCATACTGGAGAGAAACCGTATAAATGTGTGGAATGTGGGAAAGCCTTCAGTCAGAGATCAAACCTTGTTCAACATCACCGGATCCATACTGGAGAAAAACCCTATGAATGCAAGGAATGTAGGAAAGCCTTCAGCCAGAATGCACATCTAGTTCAACATCTGAGAGTTCATACTGGAGAAAAACCTTATGAATGTAAGGTATGTAGGAAAGCCTTCAGCCAGTTTGCCTATCTTGCTCAACATCAGAGAGTTCACACCGGAGAGAAACCTTATGAATGTATTGAATGTGGGAAAGCATTTAGCAATAGATCATCCATTGCTCAACACCAGAGAGTTCATACTGGAGAGAAACCTTATGAATGTAATGTTTGTGGGAAAGCATTTAGCCTTCGTGCATACCTTACTGTACATCAGAGAATACATACTGGAGAAAGACCTTATGAATGTAAGGAATGTGGGAAAGCCTTCAGCCAGAATTCACACCTTGCTCAACATCAGAGAATTCATACAGGAGAAAAACCTTATAAATGTCAGGAATGTAGGAAAGCATTCAGCCAGATTGCCTACCTTGCTCAACATCAAAGAGTTCATACTGGAGAGAAACCCTATGAGTGTATTAAATGTGGGAAGGCTTTCAGCAATGACTCATCCCTTACTCAACATCAGAGAGTTCATACTGGAGAAAAACCTTATGAATGTAATGTTTGTGGAAAGGCTTTTAGTTACTGTGGATCCCTTGCCCAACATCAAAGAATTCATACTGGAGAGAGACCCTATGAATGTAAAGAATGCAAGAAAACCTTCAGGCAACATGCACACCTTGCTCATCATCAGAGAATTCACATTGGGGAATCCCTTTCACCACCCAATCCAACCAATCACCAAGTCTTATAAATTCAATCTCCTAAATAATTCTGGAACTTTTACTCCTTATTTTTAATATTGTTACCTTAAGTCTAAGATTCATCTCACGTAGATCAGTGTAACAGCTTTCTAATGGGCCTTCTGGTATTCTTTTTTTTGCCACCCTTAAATCCATTTCCCATAATGCACCCAAACTGAAGTTTTAAAGTTTAAGAATTAACATATCTCTAGTTAAAACTGTTTTTTGCAGGGCTGGAGTTGTGGCTCAGGGGTAGAGTACTTGCCTAACATGTGTGATGCCCTAGGTTCGATTCTCAGCATCACATATAAATAAATGAATAAAATAAAGGTCCATCAACATCTAAAAAATATTTTTTAAAAAACTGATTTTTGCTAGCTATTGTTTTTAAACTAACCACCCAATCCAACCAATCACCAAGTCTTATAAATTCAATCTCCTTTAAAATTGTCATCACCTTTAAAATTGTCAATGAGGCTCTCCATTATCTGGTTCTTACATTCCACATAGCCTTATTTTATTCCAGTCTCTTCTAGGCATTAGGTACTTCCCAGGACTAAGAACTTGGATTCTGGAAAATCACTACTAATGGCATTGTGTGACTTTGAACAACTTGTTTTAATTATCTAAACATCAAGATTTTTTTTTTCAAATAGGGATGACAAAAGATACTCTATTGTAGAAATGTATTAAATGAAATTGTGTCTGTTGTAAATTGTTGCCTATTAAGTGAGGAATTTGCATGTAAAATAATTCATATAGAATGTCAACAATATCAGGTAACCTAATATGTATTGGGTGCCTACCATGCACTAAGCACTGTTATACATACTCAACATACATTAACTCATTCACTCCTCAGACTTAAGACAATATTCATTAGTGGACAAGGTAGATAGCATCCCTGGGAAACATCACATCAAAATTCGAAAAACAAAAATTTTAGAACATAAGACAGTCTTTATATTCTGAATGAATAATCAGTATAGACACAGGTAGTAGAACTATTATAACCAGTTTTAGAAAGTTTCTAAAGAGAATGGCTTGTATAAACCAATAAAATAAAGAAAATAAGGATTCACTGGGAAGAATACAGAACTTAAATTTAGGTCAAGGAAATAATAGAAATGGTCATTATTAACTTAAAAAAATTCATAGGTGCCATAAAAAAAAGCATCAACCCCAACTAATTGTATGGGTGAATTCAGGTAATTTTGAAAACATAAGTCGTCTTATATTATACAAAAAAATGTAAAGTTTGTGGATTTCAAAATTGAAATCAAAATGGAAAGGTAATCAAAGGCATAAAACAGTAGGCTAATATAGATAATATATGCTTTCATTCATTCAATGACTATCAAGTAGTTAGTTTTTGCTAGACACTATTTGAGGCATGAGAAGACAACCATGAACAATAGAAAATCATGTGCTCAATGGAGTTAAATTCCAGAGGCTGAAACAATTAAATTAATACTTAAATATAAAACAATAGATTTTCTTTTTTTAGTATTTATTTTTTAGTTGTAGTTGGACACAACACCTTTATTTCACTTGTTTATTTTTGTATGTGGTGCTGAGGATCAAACCCAGGGTCCCGCACATACGAGACGAGTTCTCTACTTCTGAGCCACAACCCAAGCCCTAGATTTTCTTTTTTTAAAATTTTTTTTCAGTTGTAGGTGGTCACAACATCTTTATTTATTTTTATGTGGTGCTGAGGATCGAACCCATGCGAGGCGGGCGTTCTACCACTGAGCTACAGCCCCAGCCCTAAAACAATAGATTTTCTAACCCCAGAAAACTGAAGAATAACAAGAAAATAAATTGAGGAGCATTATATAGCCTAGGCTGAAGAGACTGAATCTAATAAAGTGAGTTGTTTGCCGGGTTTCTGTTCTCGCGACTAAAAGGCTCAGGGGTCACTCTAGTTTAACTGGGCTGCACGAAATAACCACACAAGAGACACAAATACCTTTTTCTTTGGGGTTGCTGTGATGGCTCCTCTGACCTTAAGGGTCCGCAGAAAGAGAGAGTGAGGGCATGCTCTGACCCCTTTTATTGAGGAGAAGCTATTCAAATGAGGCAAGGGGTCAGGTTTCAGGGGGCTGAGTCTATCTTCATGATGTCCACTGTCAGCAGGTTGACTGACACCGGGGTAGGCCACACCCAACGGCACAGTAAGAGAAGGGGACACACACAAGGCACTTCCATGGAAGATTCTATCCTAAACAGGGCAAGGGGTTATATTACAAAGGAACAGGTGAGCATAGCTTTACCCATGGGGCTGTAGCAAGACACACCCATTTCTGTGACTGAGCACCTCAGCACCCAGCTGGGGAGTGTAACTCAGTCACCCGTAAGGTTGGCCTCCCACAGTTGTTCTTAATGGACTCTTTTGCCATTTAATTTCACAAGTTGTTATGTTGGTACTAGGGATCGAATCCAGGTAACTGTTGAGCCATATCCCCAGCCCTTTTTATTCTTTATTTTGAAACAGGTCTCACTAATTTGTTTGGGACCTCACTATATTGCTGAAGCTGGCTTTGAACTCGCAATCCTCCTGCCTCATTCTCCCAAGTCACTGGGATTACATAAGTGCGCCATTGCACCTAGCTGAAGTGTAAATTCTTAAGAACAGCAAGAAAATTATTGTATCTAACATATTTGTGAAAACTTTCCATATGTTAATGATGGTTCACACCAGCAGAGAAAGGATTTGGGGAGTACTAAAAAAATTGACCCTATACATCATTACTAGTAAGGGATATGCAAAATGAAACCACAGTGAACTATTTTAAATCACATTGGCAAAAGCATCACAGTGTCAATTATTGGAAAGATATGGAGCTTTAGGAACATTCATACAATGCTATGGAAGTTTTTGTATTTAGCCCAATTTGGCATTATCTAATAAAGGTGAGAATTTAATCTTTGACCCAGCATTTCCTCTGTAGTCTCCTTATGTCTCAGGGAGATAACACATGAAGGCCCTCTGAAACACTGTTTGTGAAAATGAAAAGTTGAAAGCAATTAGTCATTGTGCTGAATATACATTGCAATGCAAATTAAGATGGATAATATTACTATCAACATGGATAAATCTCAAAAATAGTATTAATGAAATTGAGCTAGAGAGTATTTTGTATGATAGAGTATCACCCATTTATATAAAGGGTGAAAGTATGTAAATCAATGTTACTTATATTTTCCATGGCTAAATATTAGGAGAATGTAAATGCATTCATGGACATAATCAAACCTGAAACAGGTGATCTCTAGGGCAGAAGGAAAATGAGATTTGGGGAAAGAATACAATGGGAAATCTCTTTAATCATATATTTCTCTTTTAAAATTAGCAAATAGTCAGTTCTTAAATTCTGATAAAGCTGGTTGTGGGTGTATGGGTGGGTTCTTATTCTCTGTATCTTTCTATTTATTTCATAATAAAAATAAAGAGTAAGTGATGTATGCTTTTGTCAACTATCTCTTTACTATGCCTCAGGCATAGTAGGTGTTCCTATATTCACCATTTTCTTCAAAAAGAAGTTCACATATAATGAATTCCCAGAGATAACCACTGTTGAAAATTTGAAGACTTCTTCCCTGATTGAGACTTTTTATAAATTCTAAGGCTTTTATAAAAGCCTAAGGGCTTTTTAAGCCTAATTAGCTTTCCCATCATCATTTTAATGTTTAAAATTAAAAACATTAAAACATTGCCCATTTTGTATGCACAATGACTTATTTCCTTTTGTGCCAGCTTAAATGTCTAGGACTGCGATGCACCAATTATCATCCTTTCTGAACTCAGTTTTCTGAGATGATTTTTATCTTTGTTACATGGAGTCATGATACATATTAATTCCTAGCAGTACTTAATGGTAGTATACTAATATTTTATAAAATATTTGGACAGTGGTGAAAGGAAACTGGAAGGGAAATGGTATGAGGCCTTTAAAGTAGAAGCTTGGGGTGGAGACTGAAATTCACTTCAGATAGTAAGTAGGTCCCACATAAGAATGAAGACACACAGTAACTCTGGATTAAAAGAGATATGCCTAAATTCATTTAGTCACTGGAGTTATAATCAATATCCAGATTTTGGGTGGGGTAGTGGGGCATTCAATTACTAAGCCACATCCCCAGCCCTATTTTTGTATTTTATTTAGAGACAGGGTCTCACTGAGTTGCTTATTAGCCCCTCACTTTTGCTGAGGTTGGCTTTGAACTCATAATCTTGCCTTAACCTCTCAAGCTGCTGGGATTACAGGTGTGGGCCACTGTACCATGCTAATATCCAGATTTTGGGATAACGTTTAACAGTCTAACATTTTTCATATTTTTATTTACAAGTTAAATGGAAAAAGAAGCAATTAAGGATATTGAAGAAATTAACTACCACTTACTTTGAGAGGCTCTAAAACTAATACCTGAATAACTGAGACTATCAAGAGGACCAAGGATTTCATATCCAATCAAGTTGTCCATCTAGCTATAAGGCTGTATGAAAAGGTTTTTTTCCATATTTTTATACATAATGGTGGAATTGTTGTTATATATTGATTGGTACAAGTACACGATAATAACTATATAATTTAGCCAATATCATTCCTCAGTATTTTCCCTTTTCCTCTCCTTCCCCAGTCCTTCTTTCCTGTACTGATCTGCCTTTGATTTTCCTGAGATCTCCCTACACACACACACACACACACACACACAATACACACACACACACAACACAACACACACACACAGAACCTTTTCTTTTTTCCCACTCTAGCTTCCACATAAGAGATAAAATGACTCAACATTTTGAGTTTGGCTTTTATTTAACAATGTTCTCAAGTTCCATCTATTTTCCTGTATATGACGTAATTTCATTCTTTTTTAAAGTATTTTATTGGTTATTAATGGACCTTTATTTATTTGTTTATATGTGGTGCTGAGAATCGAACCCAGTGCCTCACACATACGAGGCAAGCGCTCTACCATTGAGCTACAACCCCAGCCCCATAATTTCATTCTTTATGACTAAATAAAACTCTGTTGTGTAAATATACCACATTTTCTTTTTTTTTAATTCTTTTTAGTTATACCACATTTTCTTTCTCTAGTCATCCACTGACAGACACCTAGGCTCATTCCATAGTTTGGCTATTGTGAATTATGCTGCTATAAACATGGGTTTTAACATGGGTATATACGTGGCTATAAGCAGAGAAGACTGGAAATTATTTAAAAATTTACAGCTATGTATGGT